AAAGGAAGCTAAACGTATTCAGGAGTGCCACTGTCATTTTCACCCATTATGGCAAAGCTATTGCAATTCTGTATGATGCTGAAGTTTGTAAAGTTGCGCTAGTGACTAAAGAGTTCCAAAACTATCTTTAACTCCAAAACTTGTAATTGAATGCCCATAACTGAATATCTAAAAAATAAAGCACTATGAAATGCAACACTAAGCACAGAGAGATGGCAGCCATGATGATTTTAGAAGTTCACCTCAAGCGACCCTGAGTCCTATTTTTCCAGTATTCTGCTGTAATATGCGAATCAATCATGGCACCAGCAACTAAAGGAAGGTGCTTGACATACTCTAACTTGAAATAGTGCCCCCGCATTTCATGGATCCACCATAACACCTTTGGGAGAACGTGAGCAACATCTTGTTTGAGAACAGCATCCAGCCATTTCCCAGTAACCGCAGTGTTCAAGACAACCAAATCGGCTTTGAGAGCCATATCTATAGCTTCTTGGCCGAATGCAGACAAGACCTAACAAAATGGATAAATGGACAATTTAAGCAAGGTGGAAATTTACATGAGAAATCATTTAAATATTAATAAACAGGAGACAGCAATTGTATCTGATCATTTCTAGAACCAAAGTTAAATCTTATATCGAATGGTCCAACATATTTTCAGACTAAATACTGATACTAGGCCCAAGGCTTAAGTGCCTTTGTAAAGGATTGGTTTGAGTATCCTCTTATGCACAAGCGTTTGCAAAGAAGTATAAACACATGAGAAATATTTAGATGTAAGTTACGCAAAATTACAAATTCCATATCCATAACAGATGCTAGTAAATTTTCCACAATGTGTTGTAGGAGAATTGTCCCTATTAAAAAGGTATAAATTCAGATGTCTGCAATTCAGCTTTAACCAAATGTAATTGAGAGATACAACGTGATAACACCCACAGATCTAAATGCCTGATAGAAGAATATACACTCAAGTTTAACTTTGAAGAACTTATAACCTGTACTCCTCGGTCCATCATCTTATGCTCTAAACTGTATATCACTTCATCTGTTTCAGACGGTTTCATCATAGTAGTCCAATAAACTTCAGCACCAACGCTTCTTAATAGAAATGCCAGCTCCATCAACAATAATGGTCCACCTAAGAATGAAAATAATAGTGAGGAAAAGACAGGAACTGCAACATACAAATAAGTTAGCAGAAGGATTCTTAAGAACTTATTGATAAACAATGATAATTATAAGCTCCACACCCAAGAATCAGAAATCAATAAAATAGATATTCAGCCATGGGTTTACCTAAGAAAAGAAATTAACATGGGCTAAGGTGGCATACCCCCCAAGTTTAACTTGTCAAACCATATAATAGAATAACTGAAAGAGTGAAGAACTATTGACAGTTGGAAATATATGTATGTCCCATTACACTCAGCACATTTGCGATTGTCTGGTCAAAGCAATTTTTCATGAAAGGTAATGACAAGAACATTCAAAATTCTCCAGATGGAATATTCTACTACAACAATATAAAGGCTCTGTATACAAGCAATCCATGATACAATACATGGAATGGCAAAATGCCAAATTGTGTCTACATTCTCGAAGTTGAAGAGCTTCAGATTGTTGAAAAAAACCACTATCGTTTCATAATTTCATTTTTCTTTTTTGTAATGTGTATAAATCTATGATTTGCAAACAGAAATGAGGTAAAAGACACAACAACTTGATAAACTTGTATGAGACAACTGTCATATTCATATACGTTAAGTATTTTCCAAAAAAGCATATAATACAGTAAATTATAACATTAACAAGCTAATCAACATTGTTACATGATTACAAATGTTGGAGATGACAATTTTTAATTATAGAAATATTCCAACAATTCATCTTCCTAAGGATGACATACTGATTGTATAACCCAAGAAGCACACAGCCTCCATATATGGCCCCCACCACACTCTCTGGAAGACAAATCCTTCCATCTCCCAAATTTCCAAACAGATTAAATTTGCATTATGGCAAGATAAGCTGCAAACACATGCTTCTGCAGTGTCTCAAACAATCAGGATTATCTTTTTCTGAGTTTCTAAATGAATGACACTGGATAAAAGGTTAAATTTTTCACACAAAAAGCCATGATCCTGATATCTTGCTTTCTCCAAGTTTTATGATGAAATTCAACATGAAAATACAAGTCACCTAGCTTCCTCTATGTTTCCAGATGTCACAATAAAACCAGTGCAACAGTAAAGGAGCGATGTACTACTGCTCAGCAGCAAAGTTTTAATCTTGTGTCACCAGAATGGTAATAATGTGTACACTGAGTATTACTTATAATTAATTACTACAATTGAACTATTCCATAAACTATAACTCATTAGTCCATATAAGAAACCATGTTCAGCTACAGCTAGAACTCATTGAAGCTCCTCTTAAAGAACTGTTCTTTCAAGGGTAAATTTTCCACTAACATCACAGATTGACAAGTTGTGTAGATAACACCACCTCCATCATGAAAGACAGCGCCTGTTATACGTTAGAAGAAAATCGAAAATAACCTCATACGCAACATGAGAATAGCATAAAACCCTAAAAAACCACCAGAATTGGCAAACTGGAAGATACTCCAGTCTAATAAAAAAAATTAAAATTAAATCACCAAATTGACAATCAAGTCACTACCGGAGAGGGAGAGCTCGTGAGAGACTAAAAGCACAATCTTTGACTTCATGAAACTGAGCGGATTCGGTGGCGAGGGGATCTTCGGGGGCAAGCGAACTCTCCTCTCCGCAACTTGGATCGAATTGTGAACGGAGCTAATATCGGCGGCATGTCGATCACAGGGATCAAAAACAGCCCTGATGAAGAAGGCAATCAGTGTGGAAGCGGAGAGCATAAGGAGAAGCGGCAGCAGCCATCGCTTCTGGTGAGCGCAACCAACGGCATGCTTAGCCATCTCCGTCGTCTAGGGTTTGGGAGAGAAAGAGTGATGCTAGTTGTGGTGGCATCTTAGGGTTAGGGTTCGGAGTTGGGAGATGCAGGTGTTGGAGCTGTACATTTTGCTTTGCGCAATGGGCAACTTGGAAAAATGTTTCTGGTGCTGGATTTCAAACCGCCAACGCTTCTGGCCTTCGCGCAGACGCAGTTGCGCTTTGGTATCGTTTAGTATATTGCTTGAGGTAAATTTATTTATTTTATAGTTATTATAAATTAAGGATTTAATAAAATTTTTTATTCAGTATTTTAAAATTAATAGATAATAATTAAGGTTTAAATAATTTTTTTTTGGGTACAGGATTATAATAAAAACTACTTAAAGAAAACTAATAACGGAGGAAGCTGACTCCCAGCTGGTCCCCTTGAAGGAACTTCCAAAGACCATTAAGGTTTAAATAGTTAATAATTGGAGAAAATTACTTAAAATAAAATTTTGTATTAAATTGTTAGTAAATTAAAATTTTTTAATTTTATTGATAAATTTATTTTTTTTTTAATTTTTAATCATGATTTTTAATTGATATTTATTTGATTATTTTTATTTTTATTTTTTATCTTTAATAATATTAAGCAATTATTATATTTTTATTTTTATATTAATTTATTATAAAAATATATATTAATTTTATAAACAAAATTTGTTAATTAAATGAAAAGATTAAAATTTTGTATATTTTATTTAAAATTAATATAATTTTTTATTAAAATAAAAATTAATATATTATTATATTATTATAATTTATTAATACTTATTTATTTATTTTTTATTATTTTTATAAAATTAATAATTTTAATAATAAAAAATATATTAAAAATATATTTAATTATTTTTAAATATGTCTTTATCATTTAAATTTAAAGAAAAATGTTTTTTTGTACAACCTTTTCATCTCACCTTTTTGTATAACTTGACGTGTCATTAAAATGATTAATTCTTTTAATTCATATGAGACCTGTAATATTAAATGCATTTACTTATTTAATAACACGTAAAAGTTGTATAAAGAGGTGGGACAAAAAATTGTCCCACATCACCCAAATTTAAATAATAACTATTAACTATTATATAATCAAATAATTATATTAATTAAATATATTACCTATTATTTATTTTTAATTATTTATCATTTATTATATATTAATTATCACTCATTATTTATTATTATTAACTATTATCTATTAAATTTTAATTGTTATAGCAAAGCACTTAAATACTATTACTAATGTTTTTTTTCTCGCTGACAAACTATTTTATCGTCAAAACCAAAGTAGTCAATATTGTACCAGCATACGTACCGATTTTACTACTGAAATGGTACATATCGGATACCAAAATTTTTCGCGTACCGTTTCAGATTTATCGCTATAAATATATATTTTTATAAATTAAATATCCAATTTTCAAATAATTATAAAAAAAACTAATATAATTAAGAACAAGATTTGAGAAAACCTTTTGAGTTGATATAATCCTTTCTTTTTTCAACCATTAACTTAAACTCCATTATAACTTAAGCAAAAATCCTTTGGATACTTTAAGTTAAAAACATTAAGATGATAATAATTATTAAACAGATAATAGAAAATCATATTTAATTTAGAAAAACTAAAAACATTCATCACAAGGGTTCATCAGAAGGGTTCTTCACTTGTTTATATCAAGGAAAAATTACGAATGAACAGCATAATTAATTTCAAAACATTACCAAATATCTTGAATATAATTATAAGGATCCTCGTTTGGAGGAATTCCATAACTTGTAACTTTATCAACCCTAACCCAAACTTGTTCATTTTCATTTTCATTTTTAGGAATCGGTGGGATATCTTTCTCATCGTAAACAATATTATCAGTATCATCAAGATTTTGATTTGGCAAAGACTCATCAATAGTTGCCCAATCCATATCATAATCATCTTTGTCAAGAAGAGCTGGATCCAATAGAGTCTCCTGTGCCATTGCTAGAACCACTAGTATTCATGATATCCTACAAACAAAAAAATAACAATTGTTTCATAAATTGTAGCAATCAACCACGCCATGTGAGCCTAATGATTTAACAAACTAACAATTGTCCTGTTATTTCTAATTTGGGTGGCTAGAATCACAATTTCACAAATTTATTAGGGGAGCAACTCGATAAAGCAGTACTATTTTTATCCATATGTATGCAAATCAATCGCATCAAAATTCAAAAGGAAAGATATTCACTATTTCACTTAGTAATAAAATTAATAATGAAAGATTGAGACCAAGAAAAGGAATTTTCATGCAAAGATACTTGAGACGGAGCTGGCTACTGGAGACGAAGCTAGGCTGTTGGAGACGGAGCTCCGCTGTTGGGGACGGAGCTTCGCTACTGGAGATGAAGCTGGGTTGCTGGAGAGGGGTGAAGAGAATTAAGATGCAAGATCTAGCCCCTAGCCCACGAATTAAGAAAAGAGAGCAGTGGCCGGATTGGACCACCCGATCACCGGTGAAACTAGAAAGTGGAAACTGCAATATGAAATTGCAGAAAATCAATCTGAAATTACAAGCCCCTAGCTCATGAATCAATCTCCAAGTCCAAGATCTAGGTCACTGATTCGCAAAACAGGAAGAAGGAGGAGCAGCAGCTGCACGCCCTGCACCACCGATGAAGAGGGTTGAATCGAAGGGCAACTGGGAAAGGCTATGTGATGCGATCTGAAATTGTAGATTTGCAAGGATTAAGATTTAAAAGCCCCTAACCAAAACAACGTCGTTTTGGGCTAAGAAATCTTTTCTTTTTTTTTTTAATTTGGGGCATAATGTGTACTAGCAGAAATTTTGTGTACGACCGGTACATTAAATTTTCACTGGTGCATTGGATTTTGATCGAAATAATTAGATTTTGATCCAAATAAAAATCAATATTATATTGTTTTGGTTCATTTCAAAAATCGATATGTACCGACCGTACCAATTGATACGGTACAATATTTACTTCTTTGGTCAAAACTATTTAAACAATAAAATAACAACTTTTAAATAAAAAATAATTTCTTAATATAAAATCTCACCTTCATTTCAACATTTTTATTTTGTGGATTAAAATATTCCAGGCTATAGAACAGCTTATCCTTTTCTTACTTTATGGCACTCCCCCCTTTTTTTTATCCCCCAATTATTGCTCCATCTATTAAAGGCAAAAACAACATCCAAAGACACTAGTACAGTAGTACTCCTTTTTGTTCATTTTGTGCTAAACTGTTCGTTATGTCCACATGGAAAAGTGTGCCTCTCAGTTCTTTAGTTGGGTTTAAATTTATTTTTATTTTAAAAATTATTTAAAAAAAAAAAAAGAAAACCTCTTCATTATGACAGTAACATTAAACTCAAATAATTTCGAGATGCGGTGAGACAAATATGGAGAAATTTTTTTTAATAATTGATTTTTTTATTTATAAGATTTGAATTTAAAATTTTATTTTAAAAAATTATATTTTTTTATTTAAATTAACAAGGCAGAAAGTACAATTCAGCCCCTCTACGTCCATTGTTGTGGCACATCAGCTCCTTTACCTAAAAGTAGAGCAAATCAGCTTCTCCACTTGACAAAACCCGCAAATCAACCCTTTTGCTGACGATGACCTCATCAAATGTCATCTTTCCGTCCACATCCTTGTTACTCCATTACCAAGAAGTGGCTTGGTGCTGATATAGCATTGGGTGAGTGATGTGGTCAATTTAAACGGTAAAATTATTAAAGAGTCCTTATTTGCTTCCTTTTCTTTCATTCATCTTCTCTCTCCTCCTTTACGATTTCTTTCTTCATATTGCAAATTTACTTTTTTTTAATAGATCAAATTGAAATTTTCTTCAAATAAATCTAAACTTCAAAAAATATTAAAAAAAACCCTCAAAATATGAAAATATAAAAGTTAAAAAAAATTTCAAAATTAAAATCAAAACTTGTGGTTTTATTAGTATTAAATGATTTACTCATTAAATTTCCATATCTAGTATCACAAAATTTACCTAACTTTATTTTATATAAAAACGTATGTATTATTTATTTTTATTAGAAAAATATCTCAAAAATAAATTCATATATTTTTTAATAAAAACACAAACTAACAAAAAGGAAAAGAATTAAAAATTATGAATTTGTATATGCTTTTTTGCTGCAGAAGGTTTTTTATTTGTACTAAGATGAAGCAGGAGTAAAGGGATACATATGAATCCATCATTTTTTCTTTTTTATTTTTTTTAAGTTTGTATTTTTATTAAAAATATATAAATCTATTTTTGAGATAGTTTTTAAAATAAATAAATATTACATGTATTTTTATTTAAAATAAAGTGAG